AAAATAATTTTATAAATTCAGGGTAAAATATTTTAAGTTAAACAAGTCAGAAAGGGAAATTTCAGAGAAAAGTATACTAAAAATATCTTCAAACGAGATATACCCCAGCGGGATATGGTAGACATTGGTAAGCGAGCAAAGTAAACGGTGCAGCATGATTGTATCGTTTACTCCGACCGATGAAAATTAACACGGTGATGTCCTACGAAAAGTAACAGATCACCCCTTTCCCTTACCATAGGGACGAAGATTTGGAGCCAAAGTTAACGGAGAATACCAAGGCCAATAGTTGAATAGAAAAAATTGATTTTGTTTTATTTATAAAAATACTTGTATGAAATTCGTTAGGAAAATAAGTATTTATACTTAAAAAGGAATTGTTTTCTTTTGATTTTGTGGCTGAGTCTCTTTTCGTTTTTTTTTCCAAGCAACGAGACTTAAAGAAAGGGCCTTTGGCGAGTCTAACGCTTTTTGAGTTTGGTGAACACATTCGATTCGGTGAACCTTTCTACTTTTACACATTCTTCAAAAAAATATGAATCCGTATGTAATCATAAATTTCCATCGATGATAAAAACACAAAAAAATTACCAAATAGTAACTGATTAAAGTGTTTCACTTTTTCATTTTTAATTAGTCTTCTCATATGCCTTTTCGAAAATATTAATATTATTTCTTTATTTAAAGCTTAAACAGAAAATTAAACACAATTTTGAATTAAAATAGCAGTTCAGTTAAACACAACCAACTTTCTGCAAATTTTCTTCCCTACGTGAACTAAGTTTCATTACGATATCTGAATTTTTATTCAAGTTACAGCTTGCACAGACGTATGGACGAACGGACATATGGACAACCGGATTTCAACTGGGTATATATAGGTAAACAAAACAAATAACATGTTACAAAAATATCAAAATTCACAATGGATTTTTTGCTTTACTTAAGGTTGACTGTATTATTATGTAAATAATCTTCTTATCCAGTGGCGGATTTGCAAGCAGGCTGAAGCCTAGGGAGGTTTTAAAAAATATTATACACACACCAAATACGAGATTCGAAAATTTGACAAAAATTCAAATCATTATCCAGTAATAGTAAAAAAAAGTCGTTTATCGATCTATATGGCCTTTTACATCAGATTTAATAATTACGGGGAGTAGCGTTTGCGGTGGTACTGGCCGGCCGAGGCCGAGGGAGTGTTCCTATAAATAGTGGGGGGGTGCGATAAGGCCATGTGAGTTAAGGTCATGATGGCATTAACTCACATGTGAATGGGAGATTAAGCTATATTATTTTGAAAAAACGATATGGTTTTATCTCGCTTTTGAATTTGAGATAAAGCCATCATGGTTTTTTATATTTTGCAATTTATGAAAGATTAGTAAAGTGTTACCCTTTTACAAGATAACAAAAATGGGAAATCCTCACCCTGTTTTGACAAGAAGTGCAATTGGCAATGTATTGTTTTATTAGAAGTCACCCTGTGTTGATAAAAAGTGCATTTGACAATGACGTTATTATTTAATGTCATATTTTTATTGCCGTCCACGTGTTTTCAATTTCGCGAAATTCTTAACAAAATGGAAAATGTGAACACAGTTTTTGAGTACACCATTATAGCAGGGTTTAGAAAAAATAGTAAACTTTTGTATATTGACAAGGAAGAACAAATCTATAAATATAAATATACAAGTAGAAATATTAAATACTATTATTGTTACAATAAGAACTGTAAAGTTGGTGTTGCAGTTGATTTCAACAACCTCCTGATTCATTGTCGTAAAATTAAAAACTCAAGTTCAGTCCAGGATCATGAAAAACAAAATATATTGTTTGATAAATTGAAAATAACAAATGCGATCAAAAATGAGGTCAAGCCTTGGTCGAAGAAGAATTGATATGTTTACAAATGAAGAAGTTCAAAAACAATTCGCCATGTCTAGATTTGATCCAAAAGAAAAATTTTACATAGACATAATTATAGAGAAAGACTTTCACACGCTTTATTTATTTCACCGACTATTTCTAATGCTATAACCAAAATGAGTGGCTCGGAAGGAAGATGTCACTTTTAGTAGTGTACCATTTTCTAAACAGTTTAAACAATTGCTCATAATACACTTCATTCACGCAGATCACGTAAGTCTATCATTATATGTGTTGTAAACATTATTTATAAAATAATGGCGGTTCTGTGATTACTCTCCTCGCGTCCCGCCGCGCATGGCCTTACCGCATGGCCTTATCGCACCCCCCTTAAATAGTGTGTCGGAGGCCGCCGTTCTACAATCGAGGTACTTATATTTAAATGGAAACGATGAAGTATATTCGTACATTTTCAAACTGATCCTTCCTCAGAAATAATAAAATTGCTAAGTATTTGTAATAGTAGAAAATTACTGCAACCAAATACGAGGTACAATGGATTATAACTGGCTCAGTAATCAGTCGATGAATATTATACGACTTGCATCACAAAAGTCTGATGTCATAACATTGCCAGCTGACTTTTTCGTCTTTTCACGCTTGAGAACCGGTTCATCATGTGCAATCCATCAAAATGACAATCGATTTGAACTCCAATGTTGAGCCATATTTCATAAAACGACGCAGAATTCGCTTTTATTACGATTAAAGAGCACTCAAAAACTAATCAGAATCAGAAAATCGTTGTTTTGTTAGATTATGAAATTGCGAGGCACCCACTTTGAACGGAGTTTTCACTTCTTTAGGGCGATTATCCTCGGTGCTCATTTCGCCTCTATCCGACTCAGCATTTCTTTTTCTAAGGTGGGCATCCTCGGTGCTCATTTCGCCTCTTTCCAACTTAGCATTTCTTTTTCAATGGTGTGTCAACAGTGTTTTCTCCCAAAAAGAAATGCTTTATTAACAGGGGAAATGCTTTATGATCCATTTTATTGTATACTAACATACGTTTCTTCACAAAAATGCTCTATCTCATTAACTAATAGTTATAATCTAACTAATAAAAATCATATATATGGTAGTAGTAGTATTATCTATGCATATATCAGCAGCGGGAACGCGTGAACAGGTCCTTTAGTATTCAAAAAAATAAGGTGACATTTGAATTTAAACTGCGCGCGTGTAAGGATTTGGAGAACTATTTTTTTTTAGGTTGGTCGTACTGTCAGTCACATTTATGTCAAATTTCATGTCAAAATATTCATTACTATTTGAGATACGTGTCGTTTTGTGAGCTGCTAAAAGTGAGTTTTTCGTTTTTTGCGATGTCGAAATTTGTTGAGCAAAGAATTTGCATTAAATGATCATTTCGCCAAAAACTTAACCTATATCTTTCCGCAACCACCGTATTCCCCTGATCTGGCGCCGTGCGACTTCTGGCTGTTCACCACGCTTAAAAGACCGCTCCGGGCACACCGTTTTTATAAGATATTCAAGCCGCAGCGAAGACGGAACTGAAGGCCATCCCGGGAAGTGACTACAACCAGTGTTTCGAAGATTGGAAAATCCGTTGGCATAATGTACTACATCTAATGGGGATTACTTTGAAGGGGATGAAAATGATTTGGAAGAATAAATAAAGAATTTTCAAAATAAATACAATGTCACCTTTTTTTTTGAGCACAGAATATACCCAAAGTAGTAAAGAACATACGTATGTTGAATGAGAAAGTGGGATCTATATTGAACAGGGATGCAAACTAGACTTGCATCTCATGTTTATTTCAAAAACAAGAGCAAAGTCATGTTAGATGATTGCCTTTTAAAATTTTTGGATTGTAATGATTTTATTATAATTTTAGAAATATTCCATAGATTTTATGAATAATTTCATATCATAAATCAATAGTGGGTAGAGTAAACGTTTATTTTCGATAGAAAATTCAAATGTTAATTTAACCGCAACAAAACATTAAACTATGTAAGCAAAGTATGTAATAAAATATTATTTTTTCTTGTCTTATTATACTTATCAACATCTCTTTTTCAGATATTGGGTATTAAAATTTAAAATCAAATATCTGATCGAAAGATACTCGTAATTATGTACAAAAAGCAAAACTTTTAATTCAATATTGTTTTGTTTTTTAATTACAAACTTTTGGAATTGGAGAGACAGAGGAGCAATCAACATTTCAATTCAATTACATTTGAAATTTCATTAAGAGCAAATGTAATTGAAATGATTGGATCTAAAGTATCAAAGCTTAGAGGCGGCAAAAAGCAGTCATTACTTATAAATGTAGTATAAAAAGTATTTGGCATTCTAATCATGAAATTTAGAAATACATATGAATGTTTATTAATGATACAGGGAAAAAATTATCCTTGAAGGGCATAGTTTTAGATTAAGTATGAAAACATCAAATGTAAACAATATTTTTTTAATTAAAAAAAAGATGCTGAAAAGATGCTACTCTAGTTTTGATTAAAAATAATTTAGAGAATTTTAGAGGGTTCTGAAGATCTATGAAAGTGTTCATTTCTCCCTCACCTTGAAATACAATTTTAGAGCGAGTTTATCAATAGTTGAACAATACTGAAATTATTAAATTTTTGGTTCTATTCTGGTTATATTTTATATTTCCATAAAATATGTACGTTACTTGTTGACAAACATTAAATTTTGTTTTCTAACATAATTAAATGTTGGCTAACATACATTAAATTCTTATGAAACAAATGCATTTTTAAATCATTTTCAATAAAGCTAATTTTTCAAACATTTTGTAAACTTTAAAGTCTTAACATTTTTCCAGGCTAAAAACAGAAAACTATCCATAAAGTACAAATTCGCAACCACTCTATGTGCTAACTACCTAACTAAAAAATACATGCGAAATCGTAAGAAAAGAATACATATCAAAAATTGTGCCTTCTCGAGAATCAGACATCCTCGCTTGTCCTAGTGGCGGCATATTCAGATTTTCACTGTATCTTAGTAGATCTAAATCAAACATTTATGTACATATATTTACATACAAAATTTTGGTTTTTTTCTGAAAGCTTACCCGAAGTTCCAATTTCCTTTGTAGCCTGTATCTTTTCAATTAAATTTTCAAGCCTCGAACTTGGCCCTCGATAGAGCATCTTTACAGCCATTATATTAGAGTCATATGTTCACTATTTTTAATGTTTTACTGTTATATGTAGGTACATAAGTATATTCACTTACATATATTTTAAAATTTAATAAAATTGTATATGTAACTGTGATTCTTACAACTTGAGTTAAATTTATCAATATTTACACTTATTTTTATCAAACAACTTAATTACGCGAACGCCGAAGCCAGACAGAAATCATGATTATCACTGTTTTAAACAAATGATGTTAGGTGTTAAGTTGGACTTTAACTATTTCTATATGGCGATTTCATATCCACATGTAACGTCCTCAAAGGGTTAATTGAGCAATCAACATGACACTCGCTCTAAGATTAAGAATTTCTAAAATAAATAAGTGATGCGTAAAACAGTTTTAATTTGTACGCTTGGTATGAGTAAACGCTACTAGAAAATATAAACCTTAAACAAGAACCAGAACTGGCACTAAAACACAACTGTTAAACACGACCGTTCGCCAACAACTGATGAGTTTGGTGGCGTTGTAGCTTAGCCACTGCTGGTGGCGCAATGGGATTGGGAGCAAAAATACACTGATGACAAACACCTATGTATGTTATCTTCCCAGTAGAGAAACTAAAAGGAGAAACCAATGCTTGTTGATACTCACAGCGCTAATGGGCCCGACGAGAACCTGATTTCACAAACACAGCGGCATCATACAGGTTCAGTTTGTTGTTCGTCAGCCAAGACGCGTTAGCGAACACGATTTGCTGTCGTATATAGAGGGTGAACGAATACAGACAGGATGTAAGGGCGGTGATTTTATTATTCGAAACTGTTAAATGGCGCTAGCGCCCACACATATTTTCTGCTATCGTCGGCAGTCGACAGAAGCGTTTTTATAATTTACTACGATACGATACTTCGTGCCGTCACGGTGTTGGTTCTTGTACTGAAATCAACGATGTTATTGGTGTGTTCATTCGTGTATATTCACATTTGTTTTCAAAGCCATGTATTGTTTATTAGTGCAGAAAAGAGATGGCAATGTAAATACCCAATTGTAGAGTAAATCGTACGGAGCATATTCATTTACCTCTGCATATGTATGTTAACTGTAATAAGTTCACTTATTTAAAATAGTTATATACACATACTATTTGTCACAAAGTTAACAAATACATGCATATACATATTTATATGTACATATATATTTTCACATGTTTTTATTTAAATCTAAAAATTGCAAATTTTTAAGCATACTTAATGTTTTAGTATTGGTTAATATTTTATGACTAAATGTAGATGGCGATTTACCAAAAAATTAAATGTATGTATTATGCACATACTCGATCTTTATATAAATGTATTTGATTATATTACTAAATGAAATTAATTTATCTTTTTGTTGAGTCATAAATTTCCATTTTTCAATTTCAATTGCTTGTGAAAGAATACATCATTAGAACAAAAATGTTTCTAAAACTACAAATCTTGCCTTGACCAAGTTTTTACCAAAGGCAATTGCCATAGTGCCAAATGAAACTATTTATTAAATTTTTAAAAACCGTGATCTATTCACCTACGTATGTTCGTATACATAAATGTACGTAAGGTCTCCAACTATTTTATATAAATTTTTTTATATTATAGGTAGAAAGCTTAAGAGAAAATTAATATAAACCACATTTTTTCACTTAAAAGCTATGTTGTCAACAACAACATAACATAACAAGGGATTTCGTCCAAGTATACAATGGCGCCTCGGTTATATCTTTCGTCCACTTAGTTTGCATCGTATTAGAGAGGGGATATGCAGTTTTAGAAATTTTAAAACCACTAAAAAGTTATTAACATATATTGCTCAGGACGAATCTTTTCGGTACATCTCCGGAAGTGTAAAAATTAGTGTGATCGGATAATAACTCCACCTACTCTTTCTATAACGGTATCGTTTGGTTAGAATTGCACAGACAAAACAAAACTACGAAAAAGCTTCTTTTGGGGCCGGTATTAAAACCAGACAATGGAGGCATCGCCTACCTTAAACTGAATTAAAAATACTTCAGGTCCAGTAAATATATCGTGATAAATATTTGCATAACTAGCCACTTCAGGATGTAAACCCAGAGCTTATGGCTAACTTTCTACCGACATATCCGTCAATCTCGAAGATATATTTTTGAAATTCAAAGAGCATTTTTCATTTAATTTCATTGAATCGAGTCAATACCTCCCTAATATTCATATATGTAGATAATATAACTAATATCAGAATTTCTAAACATCCAATTGTTATTACAATTCATATATTGATTAATATGTTAGGTGACACAAAGGTTATCCTTTCGTGTTAATAATATGTCATAATGCCAAAAATTTATGATATCGGGTCAATATTTACCCAATATACTTAATAGATAAATTTAAAAAATCCGGTTTGCATTATACCACATAAAGCAGCAAAAAGCAAGAAATTTTCAAAAAATTAAATTGCAATATAATACTAGATAAACTGTATATAATATGTGTAATCGGTCTATATATTACTTCAGTCTCATGTACAACAAAGAAATATATTATTTATTCTAAAATGCATAGAAATATGTTCATTCGTATACTTAAGTAATGCTAAACTTTAATGCAATCAGTCCAGAGGTTGGTTGTATCTCATTTGAGAATGGTTTTAATATTATTATCGTCAAATAATATTATATATAGTGACAACAATAACAACCAAAAAATTTTTGAAATGGCTGATTGCTGTTATCAGCTCCATAAATTTACCGAAAATTTTAATTGAAGAAGGTGCCTTCTTTGTATTTATTTATCACTTTGAAATATACAGTTCAAACCGACATTTCACCTTTGCTTCATAATTCAGTTTAAAAAGACTTACATTAAAAAATTAATCCTTTGATTACCAACTCAAAAGTTGTAATTTGACTTACCATCTAATGAAGGAATATGCTCATTTTCTCCTCTGAACATTTCAAATAATTCCATTTCTACTCATTAAATTTAAATATAGTGAAATTCTTCATAATCAGAAAACCACTGCTTTAGTATATTTCTATTGAACTGATAAGTGCGAAACAATGTCAGCATTTATCAACAACATTTAATGAATGATAATTATCCCATTAGTTACCGTTGAGCCACCATGAAAGAACGCAAGACATTTGTTTGCTGTGATCATTTTACATATTTTTATTAAACATACTGTCGCAAAATAACAAAAATTAATTAAACTGGAACTATAAATTCTACACAATTATCTTGACGAAATTTCCCCGTTTATCAGAGATAGTTTGAAAATTGTCCAGTTATAGGGGTTGTCCGGCTATGAGGACTGTCCGCATTGGTGCATATCATTGCATTATATTGCTTAGTTGAACGAGTTTTGTGCTTTCATTAATATACCTTTTACTGAAAATAATTGATCAAAAATACCCCCTTATATAGCATTTTTTTTTTAAAGAAGAGTGGCCAGATTTTCGTGTACACGGCTTTATTTTATGTGGATATGTGAAATATCGTACGTCTATCGTTTAAATAGGGACAAATATTTGATTCGGTTTGTAAAACATTTATCAGCTATTGTTAGAAATTGCTTAACGCTGATTGGTCAACGAATTCTCTACCTCATTCATTTATGAAGTTTGATTGGTCGCTTAGATCAGCAATTTGACTCTTTTGAAGGTGGAGCGGAGCATGCGCTACATCAAATCGTGAATTCTCTCTTTTTATATATTAATATATGTGGTGTAGTGATGATACAGAGAGCAAGGAAATATATAAGTTTATATACATACACGTACATATCTTATGCTAATTGTTATATGAGTATATAAATAATAACCACTTAAGGTTATACATGTTGCTCGCTTAAGTCTTTTGAATTTAAAATGAACGAAATAAATACTTTTAGTTACGACCATAAATGTATATGTCTTTTACACACACAAATATATATGTCATCACGCATTAGTTTTGTGTCTAGCTATATTTCGGTTGGGATATTGTGGAAGAACTAAACAAATACAAACTCTTTACGCACATAAATGCTTTGCCGCGACTAAACAGACCTCCTCAAAATGTTTTTTATTTTATTAGTTTAATAAAAATAATTGTAAATATACATACATATGTCATTACAGTGTAAATAAATGAAATAATTTGTTAATTAATATTTATATGCGTTTTAATTATTATTTCTTCTAAAATATTTTATTATAGCAAAAGTGTTAATGTTGAATAGGTAAGTTTCAAAGAGTAAATCTATATTATTAGCAGAATTATATCAATAATTACTGGTATTATAACAAAGTTTTAGTTCTATCTTTAAAAATCTATATTATTTGGGTATTCAAATTAAAACAAAAACCAAATGCTGAAGCGCCAAGTATTCAAGTGTACTCAAGAATATGATTTTATTATTAATTTTATGAATATAACTTATATTCTGATCGACATAATCAGCATACATTTTTCATTGTCGAAAAGCTTTATACTGTCGACGCTCACAACTTAGAAGCACCTTGTTGGGTGATTCTAATTTCTGAAAAATTACAATTTCTGGAAATTTATTTGTATATGTATAAACAGGAAAAAAAACTTTTGTTCACTATTAATAAAAACCAGGAAACAATACAGTACAATACAAATGCCATGATCACGTTCAATACAACATATGTATATATGGCTGTACAAAACAGATTCAATAGAATAAAACATACATAAAAATGTAATTACCAGAAATATTTTTCTTGTTAAAATAAAAAAAAATAATAATAATTATGTTCTCTTTCAAAGCTAAGATATAAATTACGAGTAAAAATCGACGCCTCAATCAACATTTTCAACACTAATCTTTACTTAATATATGTTTGTATAGTCAGTTTCATTTGTTAATTTTGAATCGGAAACATCAATATTGGAGAGCCAAAAGATCACTAACTTGCTTAGTAGAGAATAGTGCACTGCAATTATAAATTATTAACTCATACGCTCAAAACATCGAATTTTCAATT